CAGCAAACAAAAACAAAATAGAGTGAAATTCCTGCTCTCATGGCGTGTAGATTCTATGTTTATGGGATTGGGGTGGGAGATGAAGTATGTGTTGTATGGCAGACGTAAGAAATAAGTCATAAGGTGTCTGAGTTTGGGCTGCTGCTACTGAAGGGCACAGACCGGGAGGCTTAAACAACAGCCATTCATTGCTCGCAGTTCCGGAGGCTGGAGTCTGAGGTCCGGGTGCTGGCAGGGCCAGGTCCTTGGCGAGGGCCTCCTCAGGTGCACAGGGGGTGGCCTTCTCTCTGTGTCCTCACACGGCAGGGAGAGACAGCGCTGGTCCCTTCTTCCCCTTATAAGGGCACTGCTTGTTGAAACTGCAAGGGGGGTTTCGTCTAGGTCCAGGTGCTCATCACACAAAAATCCAATTATTGAGACAAGGAGGATTGCCAAGGAACAAAGGAATTTTTACTATGACAAACATCCTGCCAGGAGAACGGGAGAAGCTACGACGAATCCATCTCTCTGACCAACGGAAGTCACAGGCTTTTTCAGGAGGGGCCACCCACATGCCTTCGGGCGGGTTGCCGGGTGACGGACAAGGGTCTAGGCATACCGCAGGCCGTATGGATGGTGATTCCCACCTGCTCCATGCCCCGCCCAGTGTGCACCACGCCGCACCTGCCTGCCGCTAGCCCTGTGCAGCCACGCAGGCTCTGCCAGGCAGGGTCCACGCCCTGCTTTCTCTCACATCCCCACCAGCCTGAGCCGGGCCAGGCGCCTGGTGCTGCTTGCCAGTCTGGCTGCACGTGGCAAAGACTTCTGCCTTCCCTGTGGCTGCCCTCGGCCTCCTACCCCGGCCTCCTCCCCCGGCCACTTCTTTTCCTGATGGGACGGTCTGCAGGCCATGCTCGTCACTGGCCTCCTCTGTTTCATCTCCGGACTCACTCCATCATCGTAAGTAGAAAAAACGCAAACTGCTCGCACACCACAGCAGCAACCAACGCAGACCTCCAGACCAATGTGCGCTGTGCGGTGGGTTTCTCCCCACCGGCAAGCGAACGGTCAGCTCTGCAGTGGACACGGCTGGCCGTCCTCCGGCTCCATTCGGACACTGTCTATCTGGGGACAGCGTCAGGTCCCACACGTTCAGGGCTCAGTCCCCAAGGCTGCCCCACTTCGGACACCAGTCTCAAGTCCAGGCCTCCGGAACTTCTGACCGACCGGCTTCACGTTGGGGTTCCCACGACCCTCTCTTTGGATTTGAGCGATTGGTTGGAGTGGCCCATGGAACTCCGGGAAGCACGGTCACTGGTTTATTATACAGGATGTTACAACGGACACAGAGGGAAAGCTGCACGGGGCGAGGTATGGGAGGGGCTCAGCGTCTATGCCCTCCCTGGGCGCACCGCCCTCCAGGAACCTGCATGTATGTGTTCAGCTGTGCGCAAGCTCTCTGAACCTTGTCCTTTTGGAGTTTTCTGGAGGCTGCATTAAAGTAGCATTGTCAGCGGAAAAGAATCCAATTCTGCAAAATATTCTGAGCCAAATATGTATGACTATGGCCCGAGAGCCACACCCAAGAAGCCATGAGCGAGTGGTCCTGCCGTAGTTAGGTTACAGTTTGGTTTTATACCTTTTAGGGAGACAGGAATTACAGATAAAATCATAAATCAATACTTGGGAGGCATACATTGGTTTAGTTCCAGAAGGCAGGACATCTCTGGCCGGGCGCGGTGGCTCACGCCTGGAATCCTAGCACTCTGGGAGGCCGAGGTGGGAGGATTGCTTGCGCTCAGGAGTTTGAGACCAGCCTGAGCAAGAGCGAGACCCCGTCTCTACTATAAATAGAAATTAGCCAAACAACTAAAAACAGAAAAAAAAAAAATTAGCCCGGCTTGATGGCACGTGCTTATAGTCCCAGCTATCCAGGAGGCTCAGGCAGGAGGATTGCTTGAGCCCAGGAGTTTGAGGTTGCTGAGAGTTAGGCTGACGCCACGGCACTCTAGCCCAGGCAACAGAGTGAGACTCTGCCTAAATAAATAAATAAATAAAATACAAAAGGCAGGACATCTCAAAGCGGAGGGGGCTCACAGGGTATATAGATGGGTTTAAAGACGTATAGTTGGTTATAGAAATGAAGCTTTGTCTAAAGGCTTGGAATGTTTTAAGTTAAGTAAGCTTGCTAATCAGAGACAATCCACTGGACATATGCACAGACTCAGGAGATCTGCTAAGTAAATTGACAACCTGCAGCTGTAGTTTAAGCTTTGCCTTGCATGGCCGTAGGCCTCTTAATTATTTAGTATGTTACTGTTACAAAGAATAACTCCAAAAGGGAGGGGGAATAATGAGGTGTGTCTGAACTCCCTTCTCCTCAAGGTCCGCAATTTGGCTTTAAGGTTTTTCTGGGGCCAGGAGGGAGTACATTCGGTTGGCTGGGGTGCTTAAGATTTTATTTTAGTTCATAGCATGATTGATTAAACCATTGGCTGTTGGTGATCAAATTAACCTTCAGCCCCTGTCCCCTCTCTGGAGGTTGGGGATGGAGCTGAAAGTCCCAACCTTCTAGTCCTGTCATGGTCTTTCCTCTGACTAGCTCCTATCCTGAGGCTACCTACGGGCTGCTGGATTGCTGGCCACCAATCATTAGCAGACAAAAGACATCACTTACGATATTCTAAGGATTTTAGGTGTTGTATGTCAGGACATACAAAGGACATACAAAGACCAAAGTTTCCCAGTATCGCAGACAAAAGCCCGCACACAGGGCTAACTTTTTAATCTTTAGCAGAGATGGGGATCTCACTGTGTTGTCCAGGCTGGTCTGTAACTCCAGGCCTCCAAAGATCCTCCTTTGGTCTCCGCCTCCCAGAGTGCTGTGATTACACGCATGAGCCACCAAATGGGGCCAAGGTCTTGAAATCCTTAATATTGTAACCTTTTGAGCAAGGGACCTTGCATCTCCTCCTTGCACTAGGCCCTGCAAATTATGCAGGGGCCTTGATTTCCAAGCTTTTTGTGTCTCCTTGAATTTTCTGCCTAAAGCGAGTGTCTCACTGGCCTCCCTCCCCCTAGGGACCCTGCTACAGGCTTTCTTTCTGCAAATAGGCTCTGCATTCACTTTGCCACGGGGAATGGTGTTTGTGGAGCCCTGGACACACAGGGATGTCCTCCCCACCTGTTCTGCGTAGACCTGCCCCGGGCAGCCTCCAGCGGTTTCCGTCCTGGGCCTGCGTTTCCTCCTGGGGCAGTGCGAGGGCCCGCAGAGCTGCCCTTCTGCACGCTGTGCGTGGGCTCAATGCAGTGGCTGCACTCGGTGGGCCACTGTGCAAATGAATGTCCGCAACAGCGGCGGCCCTCCCATCAGGGACCTGTTGCTCGCCCTGGTCGCGGAGAGGGAGCCGCGGGGACTGGCGGTGCACTGCGACCGGTGCACTGCGACCGAGGCTCGGCGAGCGCCCTCTTTCAAAGCTCAGCTTGGAACGCAGCCCACCCTCGTCCACGTGCCCCTAAGGGAGGCCACTTGACCTGGGGCTGGGCCCGCTGGGGTCACCTGGGCCGGAAGGTGTGCTCCAGGAGGGCCAGAGGCCGGCGGAAGCGCGCCTGTCCGCCAAACGCAGCGCGAGGAAGGGGCAACTGGCGCCTGGGATCAGCCGCCCTGGGCAGGGGGCTCAGGTGCCCCACGCACCCGCCACCGGGCTGGGACGCACGTGCGCATCCACCCTGCCTCCCGCCCGCGCCCGCCCGGGCTCCACAGCCCGGGAGGAGGCGGCGAGGCTGCCACGGGCCTGCACCCAAAAGGGATGCGCACGGCAGGGGGTTCGGCCCGGGCTGGTGTCAGATGGTACGGCCCGCCCTCCCCGCCTGAGCGCCGCGGATGGTTTCGCCCGGCTCGGCCAACCACTCCGCGGCGGCAGAGCGCGCGGGGGCGTGGCAACGCTCTAGCCCCGCCCCCTGCTGCATAGTCATGAGGCAGGAAGCTCGGCCTTCGGGGCGGGACAGGCCCTACCCCTGTCGGGGCGCGGCCGCCTGGGGGCGGGGCCTGGCTCCGTGCGCGAGGCGGGGGCGGGGGCGTGGCCGGCCCCCGCCCGGCCCCCGGCCTCGCTCTCCGCCTCCTGCGCGCAGGCCCCACCCCACGCCCGCCGCCGCGCAGGGAGGGGCGGGGCCCGGCCCCGACAGGCCCCGCCCCCCGCCTGAATATTGATGCGGAGCGCGTCGGCGTCGCCCTCCTCCCATTGAGCGAGGCTGTGTCGCGTGGCCCGGCGTCGGCGTGACGGTTGGACGCGGGCGCGGCACTGCGGGTCCCGATTGCTGCAGCCGCTTGTCAGTGTGATGAAGATTGGCACCCAGGTAAGCTGTCACTCAACCGCTCCGCCGCCGCCGCCGCCGCCGCTCTCGCGGCCGCCGTCCCTATCAATCACACCGGCCCGCGGCCGCCGCCACCGCCGCCGCTGCCTCCCGGGCCGGCGGCGCCCCAAGGCCCGCACTTGACCCGCCGCCCGGGCAGGGGGGGAGGGCGCGGTGGGGGGGGAGCGCGGAGGGGGAGGGGCGCCGCCCGCGCCGCGGGGGGCGCGCCCCGCTGGTTCTTCGGGGTGGGTTTAGGGATGCGGAAATTTCTGGAAGGCGCCGCGGCTGCCGCGCTGGGCCCGCTCGGGGCGCGCGCTCCTAACCGTCCCTTTCGGAGCGCGGCGCGCGCCCTGGCGGGGGGCGGGGGCGCCGAGCGGCGGGGGCGCGGCGGGGGGGGGGGGCGCGCGGGCGCGCGGGGGCGCGCGGCGGCTGTGGGGGCGGGCGCGGCGGGCGGGGCGTGGGCCGGCGTGCGGGCGCGAGTGGGCCGCGCGGCGGAGGCGCGAAGATGGCGGCGCCGACCTTCCCGCGGCCTCGGCGCCGGGGACGCGCGGGCGCGCGGGCCGGGGCGAGGGCGCGCGCGCCGATCGCGGGACCCCGGGGCTCGCCGGCCGGGCCGTGCCGCGGCGCCCCGCCGGGTCTCGCGGCCCGGTTCTCCCGGAGTTGGCGGCGCGGTGGCACTTGTCAGACGACAGGTGACAGGAAGTGTTTGGCGGGCCGCCGCTCGGTGGATTTGCACATTCCTTTCGAGGAAACCCTGTCACTTGAGAGAAATGAGGGAAAAGTGAGTCGGCTTCCTCTGGCCCCAGGGGCTCTCCGAGGGCGCGTCCGCGCGGCGGCAGAAGCGAGGTGCCTTTCCCAAATTGGGCGGCGGAGCCGCGGCGAGGGGGCTCGAACCAGTTTCCTTGAGAGTTAGCTTTCTATGAAAGTAAGAGGTTTTCCCTAGGAAGTGGTTACTTTCCACTTGGGGGTGAAAGAAGCCCCCAGCTTTGGCGCGGTGTAATCTCATGGCTTTTCTTGCCCTGTTGAGAGGGTCTTTAAACATCGCAAGGCGTAATTACAGTCATGGGTGACTTGGGAATCCAGTCACGGTGCATTGTTTTGGGAGATGGCAGGCTGACTCAAATTTGCCTTTCATCGCTTTACTTCAGTTAGCCTGGAGAGTAATGTGTGAGTCCTCTCCAAGGATTGGAGAGTGCAGCACAGGCCTGTCTCAGATACTGCGAGATGGGTCCCAGACCACTGCAGTAGAGCAAAGGTGTTGAGCAAGTGAGATGAGTTATCTGATTTCCCAGTGCATAGAAAAGTTGCGTTTGCACTGTACTGGAGCCTAGTAAGTGTGCAGGAGCATTATGTCTAAAAAAATGTGCATACCTTAATTAGAAGATAGTTTAGGGCTTAAGCCAGTGATGGACCTGCGTGGTGGCTCCAGTCTGTGGTCTCAGCACTTTGGGAGGCCAAGACAGGAGGATCGCTTGAGCGCAGGCGTTTGAGAGCTTCCTGAGCAACACAGTGAGATCCCATCTCTACAAGAAATAGAAAAAATTAGCCAGGTGTGGTGGCTCACACCTGTAATCCTAGCTTCTGGGGAGGCTGAGGCAGGAGGATCACTTGAGCCCAGGAGTTTGAGGTTGCAGTGAGCTGTGATGATGCCACTGCTCTCTAGCTTAGCCAGGGCAACAGAAACAGACTGTCTCAAACAACAGCATGCTATGCTCATCCGAGCCTTTTTGCTAGTGGGGGAGCTTGCCTCGATGTTGATGGTGAGGTGGCGTTTGCTGAAGGTTGAGGTGGCTGTGGCAATTTCTTAAAATAAGACAACAGTGAAGTTTGCTGTATCAATTGACTTCCCTTCATGAAAAATTTCTGTGTAGCATGAAATGTTGTTTGATAGCGTCTTACCCGCAGTAAGACTTCCTTCAAAATTGAAGTCAGTCCTCTCTAACTGCTGCTGCTTTATCAACTAAGTTTACGTAATAGTCTAGATCCTTTGTTATTCAACAGTTCACAGCGTCTTCACCAGGAGTAGATTCCCTCTCAAGAAACTACTTGTTTTTTGTTTTTTGAGGCAGGGTCTCACTCTGTCACCCTGTTAAGAGTACAGCAGTGTCATCATAGCTTGCTGCAACCTCAAACTTCTGGGCTCGAGCTGTCCTCCTGCCTCAGCCTCTCTGGTAGCTAGGGTTACGGGCACATGCCACCATATTCAGCTAATTTTTCTATTTTTTGTAAAGACAGGATCTCGTTCTTGCTCAGGCTGGTGTTGATCCTCCTGCCTTGGCCTCCCAGAATGCTAGGGTTATAGGGGTGAGCCGCTGTGCCTGGCCAAGAAACCACTTCTTTTGCTCATCCATAAAAAGCAACTCCTTATTCGTTATTTCCATCACATCTACATTTACTTCCTTTACCCCTCAAAATCATCTATGAGTGTTGGCATCAACTTCTCCCAAACTCCTGTTAACTTTGACATTTTGGCCTCTTTCATGAATCACAAATGTTCTTGGCTGGGTGTGGTGGCTCACACCTGTAATCCTAGCACTCTGAGCAAGGTTGGAGACCAGCCTGAGCAAGAGTGAGACCCCATCTCTACTAAAGATAGAAAAAAAAAATTAGCTGGAGTTAGTGACACACATCTGTAGTCTCAGCTACTCGAGAGGCTGAGGCAGGAGGATCACATGAGCCCAGGAGTTTGAGGTTGCCCTGAGATAGGCTGATGCCGCTGTACTCTAGTCTGTGTGACAGAGTGGGACCCTGTCTAAAAAAAAAAAGGTATCTAAAATGGTGAATCCCTTTCAGAAGGTTTTCAATTTACTGTGCCCGGAACCATGAGAGGAATCACTGAACTATGGCAGCCATAGCCTTGTGGAATGAATTTCTTAAATAACAAGACTTGAAAGTTGAAATTACTCCATCATAGGCTGCAAAATGGCGGTTTGTTAGGAAAACAACATTCATCTTTTTGTACATCTCCGTCAGATCTCTTAGATGACCCGGTGCTTTTTCAATGAGCATAATATTTTGAAATGAATCTTTTTTTTTTTTTTTGCAATAGATCTCAACAGTGGGCTTAAAAATGTTCAATAAACTATACTGTAAACAGATATGCTATCATCCAGGCTTTGTTGTTCCACTTCTAGAGCACAGGCAGAGTAGTTATAGTATAATTCTTAAATCCTCTAGAATTTTCAGAATGACAGATGAGCATTGGTTCAACTTAAAGTCAGCAGCTGCATTAGCCCCTACCAAGAGAGTCAACTTGTTCTCTGTAACTTTTAAGCCATTGATTTTTCCCCTCTAGCTATGAAAGTCGTAGACTATATTGTCTGACTATATTGAAAATCTGTTGTTTGGTGTAGCCGCTTTCATCAGTGATCTCAGCTAGGTCTTCTGGATAACTTGCTGCAGCTTCTGCATCAGCCTTCGCTGTTTCACCTTGCACTTTCATGTTATGGAGACAGCCTGAGGGAAGGGGGAGAGACAGGAGAGTGGTCAGTCAGTGGAGTGGTCAGAACATACAGCATATTTATCGATTCAGCTCACTATCTTATATAGGTGCAATTTGTGGTGCCCCAAAACAATTAAAGTAGTAATATCAGAGCTCAGTAAGCACAGATCACCATAACATAGAATAATGAGAAAGTTTTAAATATTGTGAGAATTACCAAAGTGTGACATGAAGTGAACACATGCTGTTGGAAAGGTGGCGCCAACAGACTTACTGGGTGCAGGGTTGCCTGGAACCTTCAATTTGTGTGTGGGGGAGGCAAGAAGTGAAGAAGCGAAATAAAACAAGGTCTACGTGTAGTTCATTGAATCTAAAATGAACCATTTTATTATATACCACTAAAAAATGCTCACGATACCTACTGACACGGTGCTCTTACCACAGTTACAGGACGCTTCCCACTCCATAGGTTTAAAAGTGCACTTTAGAATTGATGAAACATGGTCATCAAAGTATGACTTATTTCAAAGATTAATATTCCGTGGTTAATGATTTAAGTGTCAGCAGGTTGTGTGGTTAATGGTACTGGGTTCATTGATGGTATTTTGTTGGGATTCCTGAGTATATGTTTACCTTTCTGTGACAGTTATTGTAACTTTAGCAAAGTAGTGCTTGTGAATAGTAGAAATAGAAAAGTATTGGGTTTGAGAAGTAACATTTTATTTGCAACTTTCTCTTTGTTGCAAATTGTTAAACTATTTGAAACTGTAGCTGCTAAAGTGATGCAAAGTATAGACTGGGCTGGACAGGAGGGCTGGACACTTCCTAACAATGTGTTAAAATAAAATTGATCAAGAAGAGAGGCCGGGCGCGGTGGCTCAGGCCTGTAATCCTAGCACTCTGGGAGGCCGAGGCGGGCGGATTGCTCAAGGTCAGGAGTTCGAAACCAGCCTGAGCGAGACCCCGTCTCTACCAAAAATAGAAATAAATTAATTGACCAACTAAAAATATATATACAAAAAATTAGCCGGGCATGGTGGTGCATGCCTGTAGTCCCAGCTACTCGGGAGGCTGAGGCAGTAGGATCGCTGAGCCCCGGAGATTGAGGTTGCTGTGAGCTAGGCTGACGGCACGGCACTCACTCTAGCCTGGGGAACAAAGTGAGACTGTCTCAAAAAAAAAAAAGAAGAGAACCAGTTGTGTTGGAATACAGTTAACTAAATATTGTATTGAACCAAACTGGTGAGAGAGTCCCATTTATTAGCTCACTAAGTAACCAGATCCAGCAGTGGCTCTGGTAATTCTTGTGTTAATAGTGGTAAGATTTCTGTAACAACTCAATGCTTTGTGAAAATACCTGTCACTGGTCCTGCTAAAACTCCAGGCTTCATAATTGAAAGACTGCTAAATTTTAGCTAGAAGTTATTGCAAATAAAGATCTGACCTATTTTTCTCACTGAGGTTCAGAGACTCCAAGTTCAGAACTTCTTCACTACGCGCTGATTAACTCTCAGCCCCTCTGTTAGTGGGAACTTGTATGTATCGTGTTTTTCCTTCCTTAGTTGATGGCAGCGGTGACAAGGAGATAATGACAGTGCAGATAGGGAACTCAAGGCCTAGCAGTGTGGGGTCATCGTGGGGTGAGGGATATAGCCATAGCCACTTGGGAGTCCCGTCTTGCCCCAGTTGTTATGGCTCCGAATGGATGAGGGGCAGTTGTATCTTGTGTATGCTGTTTAAGAAGACGTGAGAAGTGGAAAAAGTTCAGTCTGGACATTGTTAGAATCAACGTGTCAGGGCTGGGGGCACTTGGTGGGAAGAGCCAACAAGCCTGCAGAGGCTGGGTGTGAGACTGTGACCCTGCTGGGTCCTGCTTGCAGGGCCCCTGTCCTGGCCTGCGGTCCGCCTTTGCTTCCATTTGTCAGACCCTGCAGGTTTAGTTGTGCTTTCTGGAAACTTCACACAGAAGGCAGTGTGGTATTACAGCAGATGTGTTGTCTGACTTGTGATTTAAAACTCCAGGTGCTCTAAAGCTCTGGGGATCTGAGGACGTGCCTTAGGGAAGGGGACAGAGCCGCTTCTTAATTCTGCCTAAGATTTCTTTGAGAAAAGGGCCTACTGCCTACGAGGTTGAGAGACTGAGAGTCTGTGAGTTAGTAAAAATTTTAGATTCATTTTATTGTCTTGGGTCTTTATGTAAAATGACATACGGTGCTGTAATCCCCACAGGTCAAGTGGCCAGGCCCTGCCTTCCCTCTCAGGGCGAGCTGCTCAGCGTGGGTTGCTAGTGCTCCTGTCTGCGGGAGAGTGTTGCTGCTCAGGGCGATCCTGTCCCCCAAAGGCCTTGTTCCTTGGGCACCTCCCCCTCCACCAGCAGGGCAAGCCATCGGCGGATGGTAGCTTTACTCTGCGAGGCTGCACAGGGCAACTGGAGATGTGTATGGGAAATGCTATTTTACTGTTTGCCACCTGGCCTGATGCGG